GGGGACTACAACTCCCAGAATCCCCAGCCAGCATGCTCGGTGGCATCTGGCCTTCCCATCAGATGGAATTCAAAGCCAGGCCTCCGCGGCAGACAGAAGCTTCCAGGAGTGCTCAGACACATGTGGGAATAGCTGCTGCTGTTGTTGTTTGAATCGGCACAATTCTCATCCTGTAGAACTGGTGGATTGCTCAGAGGTTGAGGCCTCTGGCTGCAAAGCCAGGGGTTGGGAGTTTGATTCCCCAGTGTTGCCGCCTCAACGGGAGCCAGAGGTTGGGAGTTCGACCCCCCCACAGGGCTTCCTTGACAGGCTGGGCTGGATAACCCCTTCCATCTCTGCAGTTCTAAGATTATCTTAACAGCGACCTTCCACAAAAAAAGATGAATATTGATTAAATATAACTCCTTGAAATTCCATGGCTCAGCAAGTTTGGGCTTATTTTTATTGCAGAGTTTTGGATAAAATTCTCTTTTTGCAACACAGTAGAAGCACAGAGATCCACCAAGGAGAATAGCTAAAAGTTCCCCAGAGAGCCTACTCCTTTCTCATTAATTGGCACTTAAATACACAATAACTCACTCTTGGGACATTTGTAGCAGAAAGAATTAAAAACATCTATTTACTGACAGTTGCATGGAATGACAGACTTGTATATGCTGCTGCATTCACTGCACACATGGAATGACAGACTTGTATATGCTGCTGTCTTCACTGCACACCTGTTTAGCAACCAACCGAACAGATCAGCAGCAAACAAACAACTGCCACCAGACCAGGGAAAGAGAGGGAAAGAAGCAGTCAGCAGAGAGACAGGTCTTTCTTCAAATTCGTACGTTGCATGGAATGACTTGAAAGAGAGGGAAAGAAGCACTCAGCAGAGAGACAGGGCTTTCCTCGAATTCAAACATTGCATGGAATGACTTGGTTAACGCTGGATAGACAGACAAATCACCCCAGCCCAGAAAAGCCCTTCCCAGTCACCCAAACCGGAGACCACATGCAAGTGCAAACAAGCCCCCAACAATGTCCACAGCCAGGGTTCTGGGTTAAGCATCCTTCCTTTGTGAAGGGCACCTCGCCAGGGTGCCGCTAGACCATCACAGCAGGTGGGGGGGTGAGCAAAGAGCTCACAGCACAGTGCCAATGGCCTCTGGGGAGGTCCTTAGACGGTACCGTTCTGTAGAGTGAAGCGTCTGCCTCTGGTTGCAGATGCTGGCAGTGGGCAAGCAAGGTGCGTATGGCTCAAGGAAGAAAGAATGCTCCTAACACTCTTTCAAGAGAACGCATTTCTGTACACGCCACATGGGAGGTGGTGTTGCCCTTATGATCAACCATCTGCCCAGATGTGTTTCCTACCTAGAAAAAGATAGGTACCCCTACCTGGATAGAGGGGAAAGGGGGGGATAAAAGGATTTGCACCCAAGTCCACTTGCAAACTCAATGTTCAGGGAGGACTAGGATCTTGAAATTGAGTTGGTTCTCACCTACAAGGCCAGCCTGGAGTATTTTGCCACTGACCGCTCCTTGTGGTGCCTGAGATAGATAGCCTGGGCACCCCATAACGCCACGCAGGGATGGATGGATGGATGACGCAGAATATTTTGGACTATCTTATCAACGACTCCCGATAGTCTGAAGGGCATGAAAGGCTTTACACACCTGCTGCCCTTTGACCTTGATGCACAGATCAAAAGACCAGTGACCCGTATTTTTAGGGTATGGGGTTTGGCGGCTTTTAATTGGGCACGGGAGGCAAAATCTAAAATTTAACACAGCTTTATCACCCACCCTGAGACCCTGTGATATGGGGTGGGCTATACATGCTTTAAATACAGGAGGAGCCCCCATATCCATGAGGAATGGCTTCCAAGCCCCCCACCGGTGGTTGATAAAAAATGTGGGTTAAAGAAAACACTGTTTTAATAGTGTTACACTACTATACAAAGCGTGGTCTTTGGTTCCCCCTAGTGGCCAGTTCTGCTAACTTCATCTTTCGGAATATATATTTCTAGGATTTTTCTTTTAATATTTTCGGACTGTGGGAAAAGTGAATCTGTGGATACTGGTCCTGCAGATAAAGGGTGGGTTCCTACTGTAAATAAATAAATAAATAAATGCCTATACTGGGCCACCAAAATATCATATCAAATTGTGATATCTTAGTGGATCAAAAAAAAGGGGGGGGATCCTTTTGGAGTTTTTGAGATCGACCTCCCAGAACCTACCCACCCCGCAGCCAACTAGACACGCTGCCAGGAGGATTCTGGAAGTCGTAGTCCATCAAAAAAGAAAGAAAAGTGTTACAGAACATTTCAGGCTCTGCCTTGAAGCTTCCTTTGCTCGGTGAGCTGGCAGCAAGATTGTGAGGCTTCCCAAGGAAGGGATTTATTGTGATCTCAAGAAGGTCTCCTGAGATCCCGGTGGCCAATATTCCCGTTTATGGGCGGGAAGAGGCTTGTGCTCGGCAATGACCTTGAAATGACCTTCCACGGGTCTTTCAGAAGGGCTGCAGAAGCTTGGAGAGCTGAGCAAACGCAGAAATTTGAAAAGAGGAGGAGGAAAGGGATGGCCTCTCGGCAGCGTTGTAGACAGGGGAACTGCGCAAGGGGGAGACCTGGCCGGCCGAAAGGGTCTACTCTGTTTCTTTATGCACTCTTGCCACAGTCAACTCAGCCTCTAGGGCTGCAAGCTCTCAAGAAACTCTGCAATAATCTCAGAGCAGATGTGCGACGGGAATCGTGGCAACTCGGATCGAAACCCCCCCCCCACTCAATGTGTGTGTTGGAGAGGTGCAGGAGGGGACATGCACACACGTGTGTAGAGCAGAGCTTCCAAATGTGAGAAGGTGTGGGTTTTGGACTATATTTCCCAGAAACCCCCCTCTTCCCCCCCCCCATGCTGGCAAGGAGGATTCTAAGGAGTTGTTGCGATCCAGTAAAATTCACAGCAATTTCAGAAATGGTGAAGGGAGCGAAGGATGGGAAGAGACAGAAATGCCACTTCTGGGTCCCTGAGGACGGTTTGCCTCTCTTTCCGTGGCTTTGGGAAAGGTGCCGTCCAGTTTCCTCCGATTGTAGGGCAGATTCGAGGCTGGGGTGAACTGGTTGTGTCTGTCTCAGAATAATGGGGGCCCAAGACCAGACCACATGGGGATAACGGCCAGGCAACCTTCGGAAAGGACAAGGACAATATCGGAAAGGACAAGGACAATATCATCCCCTGATATTGATTTTTAAATTCTTTCCACAACAATGGAAAATAGGGCTGAAGTAACCAAATTTTTTTAAAAATTACATCTTTGAAAATCTATGCTTCTTTGTTATCTGAGTCCAGGATGAGGGGCTCAGGAAGGGAGAGCGGAGTTTTCTTACTCTAGATTTGCATCATGTCCGTCCATCAGGAGAAGAGCGTACTAAGAAAGGTCTGCTAACCGTTCTGGCTCAAATTATACGATATGGTTATCACAGCATTAGAAGCTGCTCATATGTTTGTCCTCCAGGCACATGAACCACTCAGAGCAAATCAGATTAGCAAACGAAGCCTGTGTTTACCTCCAGATGACCAATCACAAAACAAAGGCAGCTAATATGCAAGATACGGAGGTGAATAAAGTTCATGCTTGGAGAAGCAGCCGTCTTTTTGCCTCTTAAAGCAGTTCCACTTCTAATAATGTGTTAACTATATTGAATAGTGTGACCCTAAGATCTAAGTTCAAGGCCTGTGTACCGAATTTCAAAGCTGGGGGCGGCGGCGGGGGCCTTCGGCTGGACTCAACTCCCTCTTACTTGTTGGCTGTGCGGAGTTAGGATGGTTTGAGGGCAAAGAAAAGTGTGAATTTGAGTTCCAAAATAGATGCTAGTTGTTCTTGGGCTAGAAATGGGATCAGGAAATATACGAAACGCCTTTTCCTTTACACGTACGCCTGTATGCATACAGGGTAGAAGATGTTGAAATGTGTAATCTGTGTGGGTGGGGCTGAAAAAAACATGATGGACTGGATAAAAGCCTTTAAAAAATAAAAATGAGAAGGACATTCTGAAATGTGACTTACGGGGTGCTGATGGATGTAATCTGATACGTCTAGCCGTGTCCCGGGTTGGGGCAGACATCTATGGCTTTAGACCCATGGAAAGAGGAACCATTTGCTTGGTTTCGAACACAAGGCCCCGTCTTGCCCTGCCGGCCTCCAACGGCGTATGACCAGAGGCTGGGCCACTGGCTGAGTGGCGTGGACCCATGAGCCCAAAAAGACACGGCCTCGGGACTCTCCGCCCTCTCTCCTCCTGGCTCCCCACTCGCCCTCCTCGCCGCCACCGCCCCGGAAATCTGTGACCCACCATGTACTGTACATACATGCAAAGACGCCTTCTCCCTTCGACTCCCCATGCAAACATGAGGGAAGGAAAGAGGGGGGCTAAGGTTCTGTATTGAGACTGTTTTGTATACCACAAACTTTTTGTATATTTTTAATTCTGCTGCAACATGATATTAAATTCATTTCAATAATAAAAAAAATAAAATAGTCTCGGTTCGTTCATTCCTTCTCTTCCTGGTGCATACGCCCTTACAAGGGTTTCTCTCTTCCCTCCCCAGGTCCCTGGGGGTTCGAAACCACTGGAAGCAAGGCCATAAGCGGTTGAAAATGACTTATCAATGCCCTAGCAACAGATAAAGCACCCCGCGAGGACATGATCCCACCAGAGGTGTATAAGAACAACCCAGGATGGTGGGCCCCAGTCCTCGCACAGCTCTTCTCCCACATTAATGCTACAGGAATGTTTCCCGAGGGGTGGAGGCAGAGCATAATTTTCCCAATCTACAAAAAAGGCGACAAATCCATCCCCCAGAATTACCGCCCAATCAGCTTACTGGATATCAACTCCAAGCTTTATACCCACCTTCTTTCCCAGAAGCTGACTAAATGGATGGAGGAAAATAATATCCTTCATCAGGAACAAGCAGGTTTTAGGAAGGGGCATAGCACAGTAGATCAAATCTACATGCTACATCATCTCGTGTGCAAATACACCTCCAGGCCATTCAAATGGCTGTTCACGGCTTTTATTGACTTCTCCTCTGCATTCGACACAATCACCAGAAACCGCCTGTGGGATAAGCTCACAGAGACCAACACTGATAAGAGACTCCTAGCTTTGATACAAGAACTATACTCCAACACAACGTTGAGGGTAAGGATTAGCACAGATGGAAGACTGACAGAGGAAATTCACACTAACAAAGGGGTAAAACAAGGATGCTTACTCGCACCCCTACTTTTTAACTTTTATATTAATAATATTGTAACAGCCTTAAACCATCCAGACCATTTCCCCCCCTCAATTGGGAACTATAAGATTGCATGTCTCATATATGCTGATGACATTGTTCTATTATCAATGAACAAAAAGGGATTGAAACGAAGCTTAAATAAGCTCCAAGAGTTTAGCCACCTAGAGCAACTAAAAATAAATTACACAAAATCTAAAGTGATGATTTTTGGAAAGCATCCCCCCAAGTTCAACTGCACTATAGGCAAAAACAAAATAGAACAAGTTCAGACCTTCAGATACCTGGGAGTGCATTTCGATGAGAAATCCCAGATACAGAGCATGAAAATAGCGGTTCAGAAATCTAGCCATGCTCTGGTCAAATTCTTTCATTCTAAAGGTGGCAAACTAGTAACCCCAGCTTTAAAAGTATTTTCAGGGAGGGTCATCTCCCAAATGCTTTATGGAATTGAGATCTGGGGTATGAATCAGAACAACCTACATCATCTTGAAGTAGGACAGAATAAACTTCTGAGACACATCCTCGCGGCGCCCCAGGGGACTCCAGCAGCTTATCTTAGAACAGAGACAGGTATGGTATCCATCAAAGCCAGGGCAATTTTAGTTACAAGAGGGTGATGGACAAGCCCGACCACCGCCTACCCAAACGTTGTATAGTAGAGTAATGGAAGAGTGGTGGCTGGGCAACTTTAGTTCAAACCCTACTAAAATCTAAATCCCTCTCCATAGATATTTTTTGTTTTTTTCTGGGGTTAAAAGAATGTTGAGAGACTGGCTCTATAAACTGGATAACGACCAGGACCTGGCCTTAATTCACTCTTCAGGTTTCTGTCAAGGGTACCATCTGCTGAAAACAGACCACTCAATGGCATAATACCTACATATACTTACTTTTGCCTCCTTGAGAACTGCTTTCACAGAACTCTGCTTCCAAACCATGCCAACCGCTGTCTTAGATGGGAGGTATATGAATGTCCCTAAACATCTAAGGCTGTGCATCTGCGGAGCAGGTGAGATGATAGAGGATGTTCTCCATTATTTACTCTATTGTCAGCTATATCAGAACCCCCGAGAAAAGCTCCTGGGTAACATTTTGGCTGCTCTACAGGAGGAAAGTCCTCAGATAAAGGGGGTCAGGTTACTCTTGGACTGCGACCCTTATGTTACGTATAGAACAGCGCTATTCGCAAAAGCGGCCAGAAATATTCGGGCTAATTTTCTGAAAGCCATTGTGATCAATTGTGTGGGAGATTCCCAGATATGAAGGGTCTCTTATTATTTTATATGTCTGTGGTTTTATCATGACCATATCTGTATTTTAAACAATTGTGACGGCTTTTAGCTAATATAAAATACTGGAACTGGAACTGGTTTCTCTCTTCCCTCCCCAGGTCCCTGGGGATTCCAAACCACTGGAAGCAAGGCCATAAGCGGTTGAAAATGACTACTTTTTCATACGGCGTGTGATTCCCTTTCGGAACTCCTGGCCACAGGATGTGGCCCTTTGCTTAGATGGTGGTGACAACCGATCAGACCAGAGCAATGCTTGGCAATGTAGCTTTTCTGGAATTTAAACTAGAGCTCGCAGGTTGTGGGAGCTGTAGTCCAGAAAAAAAACAACTTTTCCAAGCTGCAGCGATGAGCAAAGTGCAGTGGTAGGGCTTCATGGGCCACCCAAGGCTAATTTGGTAGCCCTCAGTTCTCTTCTGCTTGCCTCTTTTCACAGCAAAAAGAAGGAGTTGCTGCTCCTGAAAGCCTCCAGAGGGGACAGCTCAACCTTTAAAATGTGATTCCCACCCACCCCCGGGTCCTGGTTGCAGATAATTAGCTCCTGAACCCATCAAAATTGCCCACCTCTGCTATGTAGAAAATTTGCAGATCGTGAAGGGGCTTGCAATTAATTCTGAGCCTCCATGTTCAGTTGCAGTGTACCCACAATGATCAACTTTAGCAGAGGAGTTTGGTTTTCTTCATAGGGACATCCTACGCCTTCGGAGCCCCATATAACTGACCCCACCACCACTTGACATCACAGATCGTGTGTCTCATCCAGCTGGACTCTTCTTGTGGTTTCATTTCTTAGCCAGGACCTCACAAGGTCACCCAGTCCTTTCCCCCAGATTAAGAACAAGATCAGGTGCACCTTCGGCAGGGCGGTCTCTGGGTGGCTACTAGCCATGATTCATTCCGGTTGTCATCGAACGGGATATATTTTGGCTGGCCAGCTTGTGTTTTGAATGCCTTGGGCTGCTTGCCATTTCATGCTATAAAAACGCAAGCCGCCACCTGCCTCAGAGCGATGCAATTTCTGGGCAAAAAGGATCATGTCTGAGCTTTAGTGCTGGGGGAGCAAGAAGGGCCGAATGATGATGGATGCAGGCTGAGTCCCAGGTTTTCTTCATTCAACAGAAAAATATCTGCTCACCTGCTGCAGCATCCCTCTCTCTCTCTCTCTCTCTCTCTGTGTGTGTGTGTGTGTGTGTGTGTGTGTGTGTGTGTGTTCTCCCTTCACCTCTGCCAAGTCCTGTGAGGCACTGGCATGTTGCAACAGCAGGGGGAAAATATCTGGAAGACTTCTGAATGCCCTCCTGAAACATTTCCAGGCATGAACGCTGACCCTTAGGCAAGGAAGGAGAGCAGAGCAGGAACGGTCAAACTGAAGCCACTTCCTGTTCTCCCTTCACCTCTGCCAAGTCCTGTGAGGCACTGGCATGTTGCAACAGCAGGGGGAAAATATCTGGAAGACTTCTGAATGCCCTCCTGAAACATTTCCAGGCATGAACGCTGACCCTTAGGCAAGGAAGGAGAGCAGAGCAGGAACGGTCAAACTGAAGCCACTTCCCAAAGCTTGTTAGGCAAGGAAGGAGAGCAGAGCAGGAACAGTTAAACTCAGTGGTACTTAACCTTTGTTACTCGGATGTTTTTGAACTGCAACTCCCAGAAACCCCAGCCAGCAACTGAAGCCACTTCTCAAAGCTTGGGGTCCTCTCGGGCTCAGCTTCATTGGGGAGGCTGCCCTGGGTGGATTCAACGTTCTCAGTATCCCATCCCTGGGAGATGCTTGCTCCTGCTGCTGAAACAGTGCTCATGGTTCATACAACAAGGTCGAATTAACCCCAGAAGGTGCATTGCCCAAGTCTACACCGCATCGGTCAAAGAGCTAAAATGTTGGCCTGGATCAGAGCCTCTTTGAGGCCCTCGTCTTCGCCCTTTCCATCATCCCCCTGTCCACTAGCTGTTATTGCTGTTTCTTCCCTTTTAGAAAAATCTTGACAACCGATAAAATGCAGAAAAGAACATGTTCTCAAAAAAAAAAAATAGGGTGATGTTGACGACAAGATTTAATTTATTCTTGGCGCTTTCTTTCCTGTCCTCCCTCCTTCTTTCTCAGCTGGGAGATCAGGGTATTATCCGTAGTCCACAAAAGTA